ATAAGGCAAAATGCACTAAAGTGTCAGCCTTTGTGGACCTAAAAGTATAGTGGAGAAGGCAGCAACTAAATAATAATGAAGCCATACGTGGTCTTGTCATTCAGTCAGAATCTCATGCTGTAGCCCAGGCTGGCTTCAAACTTGAAATCTTCCCAGAATTATAAACCTGAACTACTGTGCCTGGCTCATATGTGTTGAATTATAACTCAACATAAAGTATTAAAGATGGGAGAAAGCACATAATGAGGGTGTGTGACCCCTTGGAGAACGCCACGAAAAAACTAGGAACATAACCCTTAAGCTAATAAAAGCAAAGAGTTAATGATTCAGACTGGCAAGTAAAAGTTTGGCACAGATAAAAGCAATAACACATAGCCGGCCAGTGGTGGCGCACACCTTTAATCCCAGTACTCGGGAGGCAGAGCCAGACGGATCTCTGTGAGTTCGAGGCCAGCCTGGTCTATAAGAGCGAGATCCAGGACAGGCACCAAAGCTACACAGAGAAACCCTGTCTCAGGGGGTGGGGGGCAGGGGGCGGGGGGAACAATGGCACTTGCAAGTCCCCTGTATCAGAGACAAAAGAAAAGCCCATGAGCCTAGAACATGAGGAAGAGAAAGAACAGGGCAGCGAGAGAGTGAGAGAACTACACTACACCAAGATTTGCATAATGAACTTAGGATGTTGGCCTTCATACTAGGAACAAGAGGATGCCACTGAGGGGGTCTAAGCACAGACAACTATGGTCCAGACTTGAGCTGGAATCCTGGAGGACAGCCTAGAGCCCTGTCTTCTATGCTCTCGGCAAAGCCATCACTGAGACAACTGCAACCACAAGGCCAGGGGTTCTTTAAAACAGTGGTTCTCAGCCTTCCTAATGCTGAACCCTTTAATACAGTTCCTCATGTGGTGGTGACCCCATCACCACCACCACCACAAAACTGTTTCATTTCTACTTCATAACTGTAGTTTTGCTGCTGTTATGAATCATAATGTAAATATCTGCTATGTGGGATATCTGACATGTGACCCCTGTGAAAAGGGGTCGCCGCAACTCACAGGTTGAGAACCACTGCTCTAGTCCTTTGGAGGAGCCAGTGAGTCTCAAAAGGTGGCTGGTCCTTGGCATCCCCTGAGGATTTCTTAGAAACTCAAACTTCACCAGGTGTGGAGGCATGTGCCTTTCATGATAGCACCGAAAAGACAGAGCTAGACAGATTTCAGTAAGTTCCAGGCCAGCCTGATGTCCATAGTGAATTCCAGGCCAGTTAGAGATACATAGTGAGACTGTCTAAAAGATAAAAGAAAGCAAGTAAGAAACTCAAACTTTTAAGCCACACCCCATGCTGAATCACACAGGAAGTCAAGGCTCAGCAGTCTGTCTGAACAGGCCCACATGACTCTGGTTCTCACTAGAGAACACATCCCAACAGGAGTTGGAATCCCAGAAGATGGCAGTTGGAATTCCAAACCAATGATATTCACTTGTTTAAGTTTAGTATAGTGGTGGTGGGATGGTTAGAAGCCATTTTTTTTTATCTACAAAAATCATCCATTTCTCTATTCTTTTTGGTTTTCAAGGCAGGGTTTCTCTGTGTAACAACAGCCCTGGCTGTCCCGGAACTCACTCTGTAGACCAGGCTGGCTCCAACTCACAGAGATCCACCTGCCTCTGTCTCCCGAGTGCTGGGATTAAAGGTGTGCACCACCACTGCCCACAACATCTCTCAATTCTTTAGGCAGGTGCCACATGCCAGGGTCCATTTCAAACTCCAGGGTTTAAGGGCAAATAAAAATAACATAAATACAGCTCTCACAAGCTAACTCCTTACAATTCAATATAGCAGAGCTAAGGTGCCCAACCCCCAGCCTTCGAAAATGGGAGTAGTTGGGGTTGGGGATTTAGCTCAGTGGTAGAGCATTTGCCTAGCAAGTGCAAGGCCCTGGGTTCAGTCCTCAGCTGGGGGGGGCGGGGGAGAAAAAAGAAAATGGGAGTAGTTATTGACCAGTGGACAGCACTTCCATGTCCTCAAGCCACTCCTTTCTGGTCTTAAGAACCATTTAGCTGAGAGTAGTGAGGCATTTCTGCACTCTGGAGGCTGATGCAAGAAGATCTTGAGTTCAAGGTCAGCCTGAATTACATGGTGTGTTCAGAGAAGCACCAGTTCCCCCAGAAAGGGATGATTCAAGACGAGCTCTGGGCACGTGAATCTGGAGAAGCAGAGTGGCTGCAGCTGTCACAAGCTCTTCCAAATAATCCATTTTAACCACCGGCTCCATTTTGGTGACCTTTAGGGCTGCAGCTGCATCTCGGTCTCCCATCTGCGATCCCTAACGTGAAGACACTTGCCTACTCCGCCCTGTTTCTAGTTCTCATTCTGCATTATGGATTTGTCACATACTGTCACCGTGGTGGTCACTAGGCAAAGCCAAGGTGACTTTCACATATCTGGGTGAGAGCCTCAACAGGAAAAGAATCCCATCCCAAACTACTGCAGGACGGCAGAGGGGCCCAGGCATGTATTCATTGGAGTTTGGGAGAGAGGGAAGGACAGAGAATTTGATACTGACGCTGACGAGGGGCTCAGCAAAGGATAAGCGGCTTTTATCTGTATTGTTATGTAAAGTCGCGCATAAATCAGATGCTGTTTCTAAGGCAACAGCTCTGGAGCTTTCGAAAGGGGCCTAGACGTGAGTTTTGAGAGACTGCTTCCTTGACACTTGTGGCCTTTCTGTGAACCATGAAAGGGCTTGACCTTCCAGCCCAGAGTGGGTGTGCACCAGTCTCCGGGTCACCCCTATGCTTGGGAACTAGGATCTTGACTGCAGCAGGGAGCCATCTAGTGCGTGGCCGAGATAGGCAGCGGTTTTGTACCATACGTGGAGGCATCCGGAGTCAGGCCTGTCACCCTACCTCTTGTGGCCCGACAGGGCGGGAGGCCACCTCTTCAGTGATCAGGGGATGCTTCAACTCCGCGCAGAGTGCGGCGCGGTAGTGCCGGCCTTGGCCCTGCGCCGCTCGCCTGCAACGAAGATAAAAAGGGGCTGGTTTTTCTCAGGTGTACCCGGGGGCCGGTACTGGGGGGCTCTGGGGAAGAGTAGGGCTTGCACCTGCAGAGCCACACCGGAGGGAGGTGCCGTGCACACAGCCGCGCCGCCATGACCGCAGGAAGCCGCGAGGGGCGTGGCCAGCGCGTGGCAGGAAGAGCCCGGAGGGAGAGCGGAAAGGCGTCCGAGGACGCGCCCCCGGCGACCCGGCGACCAGGCGACCCGGCGGGCCGGGTTCAGTCTGTCCGCACCGGGGACCGGCAGCCCCACCCTGCTTCTAAAGCTAGACCACGGGGCGCACAGCCCCGGAGCCCGGCCTTGGTGCTGGAAAGCCAAAAGGAAGCATGAGGAAAAATGGTTCGATTACCCCAGATTAACCTTTTTTTTCAGACAGGGTCTCACTGTGTAGCGCTCGCTGGCCTGGAACTCAACTGTGTTGAGCAGGCAGACCTAGAACATGTGATTTTCATGACTCTATTTCCTGGGTGTTGGGACTACAGACTTGTGTCCGGGAGACTGTTAAATGCGCGTTTGGCGGCGGGTGGTGGTGACGCACAATTTAATCATAGCAGTCTGGAGGCAGAGGCAGGCGGACCTCTGTGAGTTAGAGGCCAGCCTGGTCTACAAAGTGAGTTCCAGGACAGCCAGGGCTACACAGAGAAACCCTGTCTTGGAAAACAAAACAACAAAATCCATATTTGGCAACATTTCAATAGTAGTTCTGGGGTTCTCTGTAAGAAGGAAGCCCTAAATGCATAGGTGAACCTTTGATGTCTGCATTCGAAAACCTTGCTACTAATTTTCTCACACAGGATTAATTATGATAAAACTAAACTGTTACTAATGATCTGGTGTTAACTGATCCTAAGCAAATCCAAAGAGAGTGTCCAATTAAAACCAAGCCAGCTGGGCACACGCCTGTAATTCCAGGACCCAGGAGACAGGGACAAGAAAATCGAACATTCGAGTCAGCCTCTAGAGCTACACAGTGAGACCCTGTCTCAAGAAAAATTAAAAATAAACTAACCTGGTGACAAATGCCTTTAATCCCATCACTCAGAAGGCAGAGATAGGTGAATCCCTGTAAATTTGAGGCCAGCCTGATCTATATAGCCAGTTCCTGGCCAGCCAGCGCTACATGGTTAAACCATGTCTCAAAATAATTAATGAAGAAAATAAAGTCAGGCCAAAACTTAATGGTTTTCATGTTCCAAAGGCCTGCCTGTATTAGGTTTAACATTTAGTAAATGTGATTCAGTGACCACATAATCCCTAGGTACATAGGTACACCCTGGGAGAACTAAAAACAGCATTATTATATATATGAAATATTATATAAAACCAGTAAGATGGATGAATGGGTAAAGGTACTTGCTACCAAGACAGACAGCTGAATTCAGTCCCTAGAACTCACATGGTGGAAGAGAGAACCTACTCCCAAAAATTGTCCCCTGAACTCCAAATGCTGGCCTTATGACATATGTACACACACACACACACACACACACACACACACACACACACTAAATAATACATAAATGTGTATATATATTAAATATATATTTATTTGTTTTATTAAATAATTGCATAAATAATCAAATAAAATGTTTATTCTATATTAAATATATATTACATATTAAAAGTAAACTGGTTAGACATACTTACAACAGCAACCAAATATATACTAGCAATATATGAGAGGTCTGTGATATACTGGGAAGACTGTATCATTGGATAAATAGCATTTAATGACAGCATAGTGTCTTTAAAAGACATCTGATCAGCCAGGCGGCGGCGGCGCATGCCTTTAATCCCAGCACTCGGGAGGCAGAGCCAGGCGGATCTCTGTGAGTTTGAGGCCAGCCTGGTCTCCAAAGCAAGTTCCAGGAAAGGTGCAAAGCTACACAGAGAAACCCTGTCTCGAAAAACCAAAAAAAAAAAAAAAGACATCTGGTCAAAGAGTATAGGTCACAGGTTGAAACCTAGTACTGCCACCTCTTTGACCACCTTCTTAATGGTTCTCACCCATTATTAACACTCCCATAAAAAGGAGGCATTGAATGTGAATGAACAGCAATTGAAAGAAGGGAAACCATAAAGCAAAAATGAAGTAAGAATGCATTTCTGAGATTATGACCTAAAGGCTTTGATGGTTGAGGAGCCCCAGACCAAATAACCACCTCAGGTGTACAGCAGAGGACACTACCATTATAATAGCACTCGTTGGGAATTTTTAGCTCCACATACACACACAACAGAAGGGAAACAATGTCCAGAACATGAGATTTTTAAAAACCTGTGTTTCCGACGAGGCAGACATGAAAGCACTTTGTAAACTGCTCATCACCAAGCATAGAAGATGAAACCAGGGGCTGGAGATGTAGCCCAGTGTCCCAGCACTTGCCTCGCATGCTGGAGGCCCTGGATTCAATCCTCAGCAACTTGAAAAAAAAGGGAAAGAAGCCAGGAATTGTGGAGACATGCAATGCCACCCCCAAATGGCCATTCTTAGGTTGGTAGTGTAGCCCCCTGGTAGAGTACCAACCCAGCCTGCGAGGCCCTGAGCTTGGTTCCCAGCATGGGGTGGGGGGGGGAAGATCTTAGTCACCAGAAAACAGTCAACAACAAGAAAACAAGAAATCTCATATTTATGATGTAATCGGAATTGTTTGTTCTGAGTATTAATTGTTATTGCTCTGTAGATGAGGCTGGCCTCAAACTTGAAAGAGATCCAACTGGTACCTCCAGAGTGCTAGGATTAAAGGTATATTCCACCACACCCGGCCCTAGCAACCGTTTCTTAATCTTGTTTATATTTACAGTATTTATATAATGCATGACACTTTTAAGCCTTTAATAGATATGTATCCAATGATTTGTTGAATGAGAACTCAGTTAATCTAGCATTAATTCTCCAGATAATTAGAAGTAACTTTAAGTGTTAAGTCTTTGATTTTTAATTAAGTACTTTTATGGAAATTTTTCATGTGCAAGTATGTGAGAGGAGGAACATATGTGTGGTGTATGTTCCTGTATGTATAAGGGTAAACATGCCTATACTCATACAGAGACCAGAGGACGGTGTGTGTGCTGATCTTCCACTTTCTGCCTTAGTCCTACAAGGCAGGGTCTCTCATTGGTCCTAGAGGAGGTTGTAAGCAAGCTCCAGGGATCCTCCTGTCTAGACCTCCTGCAGCACGAGGTTCAAAAAGTGTGTATGACCACTTCTGACTTTTTTAGGAGGGTGTTGGGGTTAAACTCATGCTTGTACAGCAAACACTTTTACTCATTGAGATATCACTCTAGCCCCAGAAAAAAATGTTCTATTATTGTTTTTACCATATTCTGCCAACCCCAGAGAATATAAAGATCAACAAGTATAAGGAGATTTTTCAATACTGCATTCAACATTTATGAAACTATCTGAAGAAATTAGTAGACATCTATTTAAGGAGAGTCTTGAAAGGTAGTGAAAGTATTTTAGGTAGTTGAGTTGATCTGAGCACTTTATATATATATATAAAAAAAAAAAAGGTTCACATTTACAGAGAGCAGCCAGAAGGGTGGCAGGCTGTTTGATAGTAGTTACCATGGTAGCAAAGGAAACATCCAGCCTGCCCATCAAGGTGTTGCCACCACACCTTACTGTCTATTTTTAGCTATTGTTTCTGTTTGTCCTGGTTATTTGGTTTTATTTGGGAGTGGGGCAGAAAGAAGAAACAAGAAGAATAAAAGTTGAGTCCTGCAGGAGATTAACATCAAGCAGCTAAATCCAAACCCTCATCAGTCTTCTCCAAAGGAGGTGGGAGATCCATCACTGGCCTGCAAACCAGCTTGAGGACTCATTAGGGAAGTAAAAGAGTAACAGATGATTCTTCCTTCTGCTACAAGTCACATGGAGAGATAATATTTAACATCCAGGAGCTGCTGGAGGGCTGGGGGTGAAGAAGCAAGCCAAAGCTGGATACACAAACCTCTCTGTTTTCACAGAATAGTAGAGGAACAATATAAGCTCAATACAGGATGGTGCTGGGAATGTGCAAGAATCCCCCACAGTAAAAATGTGCGATCCAATAACACTTCTTGAAAAGAGAGGGCTATCTCTGCTGCCTCCAAGTTCACCTCCACGTCTAGCACATAGCAGATACTCAGTGAATGTCAAGAAGATGGAAAGCAAGGAACTCTACAAGCTGTATAGGAAAGCTACAGGCACCACATAACTGAAGCCACAAATCCCAAAGGTTTTTGTTTGTTAGAATTTATCATTTGTGTGTGTGTGTGTGTGTGTGTGTGTGTGTGTGTGTGTGTGTGTACATTCATAAGTTTATGTGAAATGCATACAGGAATTCATGGAAGTCAGAAGAGGGAGTCAGATACCCTTGAACTGGAGTCAGCCGCAGCTGTGAGCCCTGTAGTTGTTGGGGATGGAATTCTAAAAGAACAGTAAATGCTCCTAACTGCTGAACTATCATTCCGGTCCCAGTTTTAAGGGTTCTTGCATACACTTACCTGAGTTTATGGCTGTTGGGCATAATTTGGTGTTCGTGTAGTCCAGTTCAGCATTGCTATCACAGTTGCCAGCTATCATCTTGTGGTGTCCTCCAAACCCCTTGAGATGTATGGGAAGAATTTGCCTTTCAGCACTCCCCCCCCCCCCCCGACATTCACTCTAATTACAACAGGGTTGTGATGATGTATTATGTCCCCCAATACACTATGTCTCCCAATAAAATTTGCCTGAGGATAAAAGGAAAAAGCCAGCCACTATATAGAAGTCAGGCAATGGTAGTACACACCTTTAATCCTATCACTTGGCAGGCAGGGATCTGTCTGGATCTCTGTGAGTTCAAGGCCACACTGGGGACAGAGCCAGGCATGGTGGCACATGCCTTAAGTTCCAACATTAGTTAACCATGGAAGTCTGTACAGACAGACAGGAAGTGACAGAGCTGGCCAGGAAGAGGAAGTGATGTAGCTGGACAGAGAGAGCAAATCAGATGGCAGAACAGCAAGGCATATAGGTGTGGGTAGACAGGAAGTAGCTCGTCTTTGGAAGCTGTGGAGTTGGTGAGGTGAGAGTAGCTGTGGCTTCCCTATTTCCATGACCTCTAGGTTTTTACCCCATATGTAGTTCCATGTTTTTTATTTATAAGACCATTTAGAAACAAGGGAGTTAGCATTCATCAACTTCAGAGATGCTTTACCACTGAGCTGAGTAATGGCCAGTAACTACTTCTCCATCCCAGGAATAACCAAAGGGTTTCTATACAAGTTATTTTTCCAACACCAATAGAATCAGGATTTCTGACCTGAGATGGAATTCAGGATAATCCCAGCATTTTGGAGGCAGAGGCAAGAGGATTTCTGTGAGTTCAAGGACAGCCTGGACAGCCAGGGTTGTAGAGAAACACTGTCTCAAAAAATAATGACAACAAAAAGATAGTCTCACCAAATTACCTCATTTGTAAGAAACAGGGTGGGTGAGATGTGGCCCAAGGTCACATTGCTGGGTGGTGGTAGGGACAGCATTAGGATCAGATTTTTCTGTCGGCTACTTTTTCTACCATGCAAGCTGGATCTCATTTCTCCACATGTACATCATCATCATCATCATCATCAACATCATCGTTGCCATTGTCGTGGTCACCATCGTCTTACTTAGCCTTTGAACAGTGCTTCGTAGGTTTCAAATCACTGCCACCCAAACAGCTTCATCATTAACAGTGAGAGTAATGACAATCAACATTAGAAGGAGCACTTGTTGGCTTCTCACAGCAGAGCAGTTACCAAGCGCTTTTGCATGATTTCATTAACCTTCACAATGGTCCTGTATATCAGGATACTAGCATACTATTTTTTTTCCCCACTCCTTTATGGATCCCGACTACAGGCTGATGGGGTTTAAGAGGCTTGCCCAAGGCCACACATCTAGGAAACTGAGCAGTTTAACATCGTCCTAATTGCCTGCTGCCAGAGACCCTCTAACAGTCTCCAGCCACCCACTGCGCTTCCCCCAAATGCCCTCTGAGTAGACAAAGAAGGTATTATACAATGCATTGTAAAGCCATGCTTTGCTTGGAGTTTTAAGCTTGGTTTTATAGGAACTTTACAGTCTCCCAGGCCCAGAAAAGAGAATAATTCCCTGAAGAAAAGAATACAGTGAAAGCAGCCTCCAGGGATGCCCGCAATTGAAGGACAAGAGCAGGAAAAAAATGCTAGCATATAATTAGGAGCTACTACCCTGTTCCACAGAGCCATAAGCCTGAAAGTGCGGTGGTTTCATTAAAAAGTATACTGTGTAAGATTTAAAAGTGTGATTATGTAAAGCAGTCTTCACACACATACAGGGGTGCACAATGTGATTAATGTCTGATTGGGTTGCCTGGTTACAAGTTGTTACTTAAGCAGGTACCAGCAGGCATTAGGGCTAAATTCTTGGCATCTAGATGGAACGACTTAGAAGCAGTGATGACCCGGGGTATGGTGGCTGTCTCTCCCCTAAGCTAACCACCAGTATTTGATGAAAACAACTATTTTCCAACTTGAGCCATCATTATGAAACTAGTGAACAAATTTCCAAACCTTCTAGCAACTTCATGAAAGCTTTTCAGTTCCCACCTTCCCCAGGGAAGGGAAATTCTCCCTTTCCACATGCCTCACCACCCCCAAAGAAATGTATACAAACCTACATTAGCTCTCTAGTCTCATTGTTCAGGTTGGTATTCGTCTCTTCATCTCCACGGCCAAGCTGTGAGAAATACAGATAATTCTAAGAATAGCTCAGTGAAGTAAAAGGAATTTGGGCTTTGGGATTTGTCACACCTGCATTTGGTTCCTGGCTTAGCTATTTCCTCATTGTAATCTTGGGAAAGTTGTTTAATTTCTCAAAACTTCCACTTCCTCATACGTAGAACAGGCTTACATATGGCTGCCTCTGCCACGGGTAGAGGTTGTGAGGATTAACACACAAAGGCAAGTATACAGCTGTATTCTCTAAGAAGACACTCTTTTTTTTTTTTTTTTTTTTTTTGAGACAGGGGTTCTCTGTGTAGCTTTGTGCCTTTCCTGGAACTCACTTTGTAGACCAGGCTGGCCTGGAACTCACAGAGATCTGCCTGGCTCTGCCTCCGGAGTGCTGAGATTAAAGGTATGTGCCACCACCGCCCAGTTTAAGAAGACGCTCTTTGCCTTAAGAGTCTTACCATCTAGCCTGGTGGTAGTGAGGTCCACCTGGTCTATAGAGCGAGTTCCAGGGCAGCCAGGGCTACACAGAGAAACCTTGTCTCAAAAGACCAAAAGAAAAAAAAAATTTTTTTTTGGCAACATCTAGCAAAGTGAAGCACAAAGGTCTCTCATTTGTTCAATAATGGAGGGGTGCAATGGGGGCTGTGGGACCGCAGAGGAAGGTTAACCCACCCCTGCCAGAGACTATCATTTTAGGAAAGCCTCACGGAAGTTTTTAACAGTATTAGCCAGCTAGAAAACACAGCCAGGGTTGTCCTAGATAAAGGATTGCGTACAGGAGAATATGGCAAGTTCAAGATGGTCCAGATATGGTTTGTGCCAAAGAACAGTGAGCTGGGTCTGGAGTAGAAAGAGTGTAAATTTTAGAGTCAGGCAGCTAGGCGCTCCAGCTCCATCACTTTTCAGCTCTACATCTCAACCAAATGACTTCTTCCTGAATCTCAGTTTCCCCATGTATGAAGTGACTGTGATTACAGATCTCATATATGCAAAATGCTTGGCACAGAGTATACTTCTTAAAATTATTTTGATTGCCCTTTATCTCTGTTTATCTACAAAAATCTTGATGGTTGGCTTATAGCATACACACTTTTTCTTTTAAATCAGTAGAAACATAAATGGATGAATAGATTCACTTAACACTTATTTATTAAACACAACCATGTACCAGGCAAATGGGAACGCAACAGTGAACAAAACAGACAAAACTCTGCCCTGGTGGGACTTTCGGTTCCTAAATTGAGATGTGGAGGTGGCTCAAATGTCTGTGAGAGGACAGTCTATGTGCCCCCCATCCCAGGCTCCCCAGTTCACTGATACAAATCTAATAAACCGGGAAAGCAAAGTTCCCCGAGAGGTCTAGATGTTAATCCCACTTCCTAATAACAATGGGGAGGCTCCTGTCCTCTCCCTTAATGGCTTCTCGCTTATCAAGCCCCAGCTTCCTGTTGTGACCCAGGGGACCTAGTGAGTTGTGTTGTTTGGCAGGAAGAAATGTCAAGGAGGGCTCACGCGGTTCTTGGGCTCTGATGCCTGAAGTGGTGGCAGGAGGAAATGGGAAACAGCACACACACAAAAGGCCATCCACAGTGAGATTTACCTATCTCAGCCTCTAAGAGATAAGCAAGCTCAAATGCCTTGTGAGGGTGCAGAGGGGTTGTTATTTCAACAGCAGGATAATCATACTTCACATGTATGGTTATCTTTAAGAAAAGCCTTCACCACAGGAATCTCACTTAACCCTCAGACTGTATTAGGCAGGAATTAACCCCATTAATCCCACCTTGCCCTTGTAAACTGACTCCTCTTACTTCATTCCTTATTCCTCCCTGAGAAATCATAGCCATTTCCTCCCAGCCAAGACCAGTAAACTTGTCGAATACGCTGCTACTTCCACTTCCATTCACTCATCCCACTGTGCACCAACCCCAAGCGCCACGGAGATTGTTCTTGCTGTCCCCAGGGACGTCTTGTTTGTCCGGTCTTCACAGATGCTTCTCAGTCTCTATCATGGCTGGCTTCTTGTAACTTCTGAAGCCAATGGCTGCTTGTTCTCCTCAGCCTGCTCCTATTCTGTCAAGATTTCAATCTCCTCTGCTATCCTCAATGCTTTCAACCACACAGGTCCACCTGTCTGTCTCTCCCTTTCCTTTCCTTACGTGAATTCTTTCCCCTCAAAAATCCTATTCCAGCTTCTGGTTTGAGCCCTCTTTCCTGATCGCCAGTCTCATCACCTGTCACCTGCTCACTCTTCTCAACCTCAAAGACATAACCCAGTCCCTTTCCGCGCTTCCATGTGACTGCTACATAGAGTCAATAAAGCACTTGGCATCTGGTTTTATGATATGCTAATGTTTCTTTAAGGTGGCGATTTCTCAGGTTTTGCATTCTGAGTGCCTGGCTCTGTGCCTGGGACATGGCAGACACCGAGGCGTAGAGGTGTTTGGCAAATTCTCCAGACTGAAGCAGTTGGAGGGTACAGCTAATTTGGTCTTCTGACTCTGGATCTCAGCATGGAACACAGCAAGGTTACAAGAATTTGATTCTCCATACCTAAGACACCTGTGAGCCTTGTGAATCAAGGGGCAAGATGGTGGGGAGGATTTCCTCTTCCCCACAAACATTGCTCATTTACCAGGTGTGGAAACTTTGGTATTTGTAGTCTTCCTTTCACACTTCCCAGGATAAGAGAAGAAAAAAAAAATATCTCTCATCTCTTCCTCCCAATAGACAGTCACCACCATCACTTCCTTTTGAGCCAGGAGGCAGGAAGCCTAACTTAGCTCATGAAACTCCCAGTTAGCATTGGGTTTCCTCACAGAAGAATGTGCTAGGGAAAGATCTAATAAGACGCTATCATGGAGTTAGCCATGGATACTCTCTACCATCCTGAATTAACATTCCAGGAAATGCACCCTCCCCCCCCCCCCACCCCCCAAAAAAAGGAAACTTGGCTTGCCCTGGGATAAACAAGCTTTCTAGAGAGAGACTCTGCAGCAGACAATGCGTGCCTTCGCCAATTACAAGCTCAAATTCCACCCAAATACACACAATCAAAGGCTTTACCAAGGCCATCATTACATGTACATGGCCCTCCTGCTGGTGGGGTAACATTTTAGTGCAGCAGTGAAGCAAGAGAAAATGCCATCAAAGCGAGGAGGTAGAGATGACTTGTTTGGAGTGGCAGGGTCTCTTTTCCACCTGATGACTCACTTCACCTTGTCATTTTAACACCACAGTCTGGGAGGGAGAGAAGGAAGCCGAGAGGAAAAGAGTGGGTTGTGTGTGCATGTAATTTGTTTCACCGTTCTAGACGGCTTTTTAATGAGCTTTCTCATTAAGGGCTCTGTGGGTCTATGCTTAAAGTTTTCCGGAAAAGCCGATTAGCAGGCTGAAATCAGATGGCACCTTCCCAGTCATGGCTTGTTTCCGAGGTAATGTAAGGGAGGGAGACTCTGTAAGGAGAGAGACTTGTCCTAGCAAATTTGAAACCAAATGACGTGACTTTAGCCAATCCCCATGAAAATACTAATGTTCATCAATTATTAGAATATCAGAGGCATCTGTGATAGCTTTGCTCTATTCAACTTGTTCCTGAGAACAGAGAGGATAACTGTCTTGTGCTATCCTAGCCCTCAGCTCATGTTTCCTGTAGGGCAAGCATTATATTGCATCAAAAGATAAAGTGCCCTCTGGGCTCTGCCCTTGCAGTAAGATGGACACCAAGTCTTAGCTGGCCCTCCTTTTTATTTCTAGGGCCCAATGCAGTGTGCAAATCTGGTGTTGTGGCCACTAAATATGATTTAACCATTGCACTAACTCAAGGAGGTGCCTCCGGCACATGAAAACTACATCAAAGATTTAGGCAAGTACTGAGCTGCACACCAGAGTACTTTATCAAGTTGCATGACTCTGAATGCATTTTAATGTGCTGACAGCCCCTAAGTAAAGCAACAGCCTTCATTTAAAATTGTCCAGAGGAAGAAATGTATTGAGATTCAGAGAGACAATTGCTTTGTTGCTGTGACATGGTCTGTTGGGTTTCTGAGTATGAATGGGTCCTTTTCATTATACAGAGATAGATGTGGCTTTTGCTTTGTTTGCCTCGCCAGTGAGTTTACTTAGCAGAATACAAGCACAGATGCATGAAAGTGAATCCTAGCTTCACTATGCCTGGTGCCTATGCTTGAGCCAATTGTTCAGTATACGCTGCTTCTGCTTGGATGGTACAAAGAATGTTCTATTCCCAGGGATTCTAGAGACCTCCATATGATATATTTGTACACCTTGACACAATGTTGGCCATCAGTGTAAATATCGTGGGGCATAAAACAAGGAGAGGGGCTGGAGCTGCCCCTCATTTCTGATTCATTGGGTTGGGTATAAACATTAAGAAAGGGTGGATGCAATCCTCCTTAAAATGTTTGCTGAATGGTTCAGCTTCCCCCAAGTCTGGTGAAGAATAATCTTGTATCCATGCCCAGGGTGCTCTCTCTCTCTCTCTCTCTCTCTCTCTCTCTCTCTCTCTCTCTCTCTCTCTCTCCCTCCGTCCCTCCCTCCCTCTATACACACACACACAGAGTCAGTGAAGAAGAATGAGTGATCCATGCCCAGGACATCAGAACGAGCTTGAATGTTCTGAGACCAGCTATGTCAGCCCTGTGGTCAAGGACAGCAGCAGTAGATCCCTGAAGGTTCTGATGGAGAAAAGACCGGATCTTCCAGCTGGTATGGCATCCTATTGGACAGCATTTATAGTCTCAGCAAACTCCCCTGATGGTTTGACTTCCTGCTGAAGTTCAAGGACTTCTGACCTAGCAGTGCCTTGGATCACTAGAGGGCAGCCTGGAACAGCCTTTTCCCAGCATTTGTTCCTAGCCAACTGACAAAGCTGTGGCCCCCACGTTGTTCTGGGCAGGAGCTTGCCAGCCCATGCTGAAACCAGTTTCCTTTCAGAAACTTGTCTAGTTGCCATATCACTGAATATATCCTGCATGCATTTCCACAGTGGCACTATAAGAAAAATGAGACCTTAAGGACTGTGTACCCTAAAACATTAGATAGTAAAAGAATCTAAGGCATTCTTCCTGCTCTCAAAAAAATTCAAAGATAAGGCAAAACCATAAAGACGTCTTTTAAAAATTATCATTAGAAGCAATTTACAAATTAATAGAGTAAATCAGTGAATTAGACATAGACAGATGCCAGTCTTGGTTAATCAAGGAGTCCCAGGCCCCAGCTGACTGCAATCGTTGCAGACCAAGAGGCATGCAAATGATTATGGGGAGGGTAGGATGAAAGGGAACCTTGGAATAAAGTGAGAAGAAGAGAGGTGAGGGTAGCCTGAAGTCTAACTCAGGGCCTTATCTTTGTGCCTCAGCAGGTACTTAACTAAATATCATCAGCCATCAATTTTCATATTGGAATAGTGTCCATGTATTCAATACAAGCTAACCGGCGCCTGCCAAGCCCTGGGAATACAATGGCAGACAAGACAAAGACATCCGTGCTGCCCTCAGCTGTTTACGGGCCAGTAATGGGAAATGAATAAGCAATTACGAAGGAGCATACTAACTGACAGGTAAAGCAGGGTCTGTGGATGTCCACAGAAGCCTAACCCAGAGTACAGGAGAAGCAAGGAGGCTTCCCACCGGTACACTTCTCCAGTGGAAGCAGAGAGAGAAAAGGCATGCTTGAAGGCCAGGAAAGAGAGGAAGCAGGACATATTTGAGGAACTGAAAGAAAGACGGCGAAGCTGGGTGAGTGGGTGAGGAGGCGCACAAGATGGACAGGCCCAGAACACAAAGAGCCTGTTCTAATGGAGGTGTTCAGTGATAACCCTCGGGGCACTAAAGGGTTAAGAGCGGCGGTGGTAATCAGGCCCCCATATTAGGAGGGCCTGCTGATACCAGGGTCAGTGCTGCCCTGGAACATTGACGAACAAACAAATCCGCAGGACTCTGCCTTTCCCTTTAATTGGACCTTTCCGGTTTCCTTCCTCCATCCATATTCACCAATTTCCCTTGAAACCCTTTCAAAACAGAGTTCTATTTTAAGGTCATCTTCGCTGGGGAGGAAGCAAGAAGAACCTAGCAAATGTGATTGTCACACTTGCTGAACTGCCTGTCCTCAAGTCCCCGCGGTCTTTGCAGCAGGTAATCTTGAAGGAAGTACCGAAGGAGGCAGGGGACACTAAATCCCAAGCCTGTTCCCTGCGTTGGACATCCTTCACACTTTCTGTATGAAGACCCAGCAGAGGGGAAAACACAGAATGCTTTAGGTCCCTGCACAGAATATATGAAAAATGTGCAAAGAGGCCTTATGTCCTGGGCAGCTGATGTTCAGGACTTCCCTTGGGCCCACACGTCAAACTTTTAAAATCCCCAATCAAGCCTCCTGTCCCGACCTACAGGTTGCCAAGAGGCAGGTGAGGACAGTAAACTTTAATGACCAGAAGGAGCATGCGCTGTACAGCACAGCCACTTAAGCCTTATTTAATTAAAGTCCAGTTCCATGCTTGTTTGCCTAAAGAATGATATAAGAAAAGATACCCCCCTCCTTTTTTTTTTTTAATGGACTCCACCCTCAGGCCCATCATCCGGCTGCAGCCTGGACCGTATTCTCGTTTCCTAAAATGGAGAAGAAGCCTTCGGGGAACACAGGTTCTTCCATTCCGTTCCCGGGACAGGAGACTCACACACACCCAGTTTCCTTTCCTTCAGAGCAAGGAAGAGTCTGTGTGGAGGGCCTGGAGCCTCTGGTCACAAAAATAGACCACTGGAGCGCGTGGATTTTCCTTTCCTGACAGTGAGCTTACTCAGGAAGAGGCTCTTACATGAGATTTTTTTTCCCCTCTGTTTTTTTTTTTTTTTTTTCAAAAAAACATTCAACGGAGAAACAAAAGGCTTGGAAAGAAGCTCTTTTAGCCCCATCCTCTTTAGTCTCCATAACAGGCTCAGACGAAGCCGTCCCCACCGCCACCCCCATAGCTCCCTTTTGGTGTACACCCACCCCCTCCCACCCCCTCCCACCCCCTCCCACCCCGTCCCACCCCAAGCGCTTCCAGATTCCTTTGCACCATGCCCCACCGAGTCCTAAAAGAACCACCGTCTCTGATTGTTGGGCTCATAACTGAAACTTCCCACACAGCGATATGAAGAGACATATGATTCAAGCCTCTCCATTCCAGAAATATTATTAGTCTCGGGAAAAAAAAAAAATAGGGGCCTGCTCTATGTCTGTCACCTGAAATAAACTCCCAGTTCCTTCCCCACTGCTTCCCAGATGCTCGATTCTAAAGATTATTCAAGCTTATTTTGCCACCCCCAGGTTCCTTACCCCAACAGAGAGAGGGAGGAGGAAGGTGAAGCCCTCAGACGTTAGCCATCTGGGGGGTGGGGAGGGGGGTGTTGGAAGGGGGGGTGTGGTCACATGGAGAAAAATGTGCCGGTCTAACCCCGAGACTCCCTAGAGAATCCAGTTTGTGTGTCTTTGCAGAGCTCAGAACAGCCTGTATGTTCTCTCCCTGTGGTGTGCCTGGCGCTTCCCCAGTGAGATATCTCCTGTAGAAGCTTTTCCTGTGAGGGATGGGGAGCTTTTGTTCTCTGCGAAATCTGGCGCAGCTAATTAAAAGCATTGTCCTGGGAGGCGGGAAGTGGAGGACTTCCAGGGACCCGTGTTTTTACCGGGGGAAGAGTAGCGGCTGCTGCGTGCTAGTGAGGTGTTCTTGATCTCTTGGCCCTGCTGGGCCAGCCACTTCAGTGGGAGATTTTGATAAAGCCCAGTAAAATAAAAATAGACACATGAAGCAACAGCTTTCCTTTTCTTCCCTTAGCACGTGTTCTGCGACGAGCTGGGTTTCTATTACAAACCATTTCAGAGAATGGCCCTCCAATAGTTTGACTTTTGACTCCACCTGACCTGGAAGATTTTGGAGATCATGGGACAAGAGCCTCGGCCTGTTTCACTCATTTCCTGATTTGCATGCAGGCATGTTGCTGAAGTAAAATGTCTAGTAACATTAGTTATCGGTTGACCGTGTAGAAGTAGTTAAACAACTCTTAGCTATTAATTTGAAAAACATGAGTGGTTGTGGCTGGAGAGATGGCTCAGCCAGAGGAACTGGGTTCAATTCTGGGCACACACATGGGAGGCTAACAACCATCTGTAACTCCAGTTCCAGGGAGTCAGACACCCTCTTCTGACCTCCAAGGGTACCAGGAATGCATATGGTACACAGACATACATGCAGGCAAATACTCAGATACATAAACTAAAATAAAAATAAATAAAGAAGGAGTATGGTATCATATGATATAGCATCATACAAGTCTTAAAATAATGTATAATCTAGGATTGTCCCCACAGTGGCAAACTAAATTAGGACCAAACTTTGTTGAGGCAGTATTCATTTGAGAAAAACCACTTCTCTGGTTTGCTCTCTCTAGAGTCAAGAAGCATCATTCATTCACCAAATGCTACAAATATTTATTGCTATGGAATATTAGAGATTTCTTACATTCTTTTATGCTGTGGAATATTTGTTTAACGATGCAAAGATGTGTTGCATTCTTTTATGTTGCATTTGTTTAACTCTGTGAAGCTGTGTTACTTTGCCTGTCTAAAACACCTGATTGGTCTAATAAAGAACTGAATGGCCAATAGCAAAGCAGGAGAGGGATAGATAGAAGGACAAAAAGAAAAGAAGAAGGGCCGAGAAGAGAAAGAGAGGAGGATGCCACGGGTCAGCTACGCAGCCAGCCAGAGAATAAGAAGGAAAGAAAAGATATGCAGAAATAGAAAAAGGTAAAAGTCCAGAGGCATGAGGTAGATGGGATCATTTAAATTAAGAAAAGTTGGCTAGAAACAAGTCAAGCTAAGGCTGGGCATTTATAAGTAGTAATAAGTCTCTGTGTATTTATTCTGGGAGCTGGGTGGCTGGCCCCCAAATTGCCAAAAGAGAAAAAAAAAAAACCAATAACTACAATTTACTGACCATGAACTATATGCCAGGCAGTGCCCTGGATACCTGGTATGTAGAAGTGAGTAAAACAAATACACATCATATGGTGCCTGTAGCCAGGGAAAATGAATAATAAACAATGGTCCAGTAAGTAGATTAGAAAATGTATTAAGTGGTGATAAGTGCCTGGAGTCAGGGAGTAGATTAAAGTAAGACCACCTGGGAGAGGTATGATGCAATTGAACAGAGACACAGCAGAAGTGATAGAATTAGCTTGAGGTGGCCAGTGGTGAAAAACTGAAGATGAGCATACACCTGGAACAACGGGAACTTTGTGACTGCAGTCATAAAGAACAGGAAGAGAGAGCAAGGAGGTGACACTCTGGATCAGTAGAGGCCTGGGTGGCACTATAAGGATTTTGTCTTTGACGGGAAAGAGGGAGCCATCAGAGGTTTGGAAGCAACGCAATGAAATGGTCAGATTCAAGTTTTAACACAATCACCCTGTCTGCTATGAAGAAAAGACACCATGGAAAAGATCAGCAAAAGAGATGGAGCCTGAGTATATACACATATCTTCCCGCTGGATAGATTTTGAAAGTAGAGCCAGCCAGATTGCTGATGGATTAGATGTGAAATGTGAGAAGAAGAGTCAAGTTCAGGCTAACGCCAAGACTTTCGGCCTGCAATTGAGAGGGAGGAAAAAGCATCAGCGGAGAAGGGGGAGGAAGGCTACACCGGGTCGCTGTGGATCCATTTGATCCAAGCAACTTGATCGTTCTCGTTCACATGTGCTCACGACAGCCATGAGGGGCATCTTTGCAAGTTACACCAGAGACTCTGTCTAATAGACAATAGGTCTGGATTGAGGTCCAAGAATAGATATTTAATGTGCACATTAAATAGTGAACCACTGAGTTGTTTTCAAACAAACAAACAAAACTGATGGGAGTCAATGTGCTTAAAATTCTAGATTTCATAATGAACAAATGAAAGGATTTATAGACAATTCTCTCACTCTCTATGATGAACTATATACTGTGGGTCCTCCTTTGAATATATATTATAAATGAATTGTTTAGCTTATTACCAATGAAGGCCAAAGTGATTTTTGTAAAAGAAAAAAAGCCACATAGAATATAGCTGAGAGCTTAACTTTCAATCTCTTCAAGTGGGAAATTAATAACAGTGCTTACAGGACAGTAATTTGATGAGTAAATTAAGGTTGTTTTGATATCATGTAGTTTGACCTATCTAAACATCAAGCCAACCACCATACCTCCAACAGTGACCAGAAAGGGATGGGAAAGGCTAATTATCACCGTAAAATAAATGGCAAGACAAGACGCATGTCTCCAGAGAGTGGGGTATGGTAGTGCACACCAGCAATGCTGGCAGGCTGGGAGGCAGAAACATGATGACCATTGAGAATCAGAAG